CAGTCTTTCGGCCATGTTATCTTCTTACATAAAGATATGTTTTTTGAGGTGCTCTTCAAACAGCAGTAATAGATTTACGCTGATAAACTACATTATCTTGAGTTGGAGGACCTGCGCAATAAACATTTACTAAGCACTACTATGAGCTGGGTATACTGATCAGTGCATCTAGCCCATGAAATTGTGCAGATGACAGGTCTGAATAGGTCACACCCTATTCATAGTTATTCCAATATTTTGGTGACAATGATGAAACATCTTTCAACGTGATATATCTGAATAACACAGTTCTGAGCTCCAAGTGGCATGTTTAGGAAAAGAGAGCATAAAGGTGGTATTTGGAGGGTGGGGGAGGGGGTGATAGGTGGCCGCGTCGGGAACAGAAGGAGGAAAATACCCAGATTGTGAGCTAAATCAGAATGTAAACAATTCTATAACACTCATTCTTGTCTTTAGAAATGATGGGCATAAGAGTCTTAAAAATGGGTTTGTTTTTCTACAGAGAAGATTAAAAAGGAATAAAAAAAAATAAGCACTACTACACACTAACTGCTGGACTAACTAAAAGTATAAATCTGTAAAACTGCTTATTAGAATAAAAGATACAGGTTCATGGGGTGACTTTACACACAGAATTTGGCCTTGCCCTGACTAATTACATTACATATAATGTAACCTACCCCTATTAAACTAAATTTTCATGAGGACAGGGAACATGATTATATAAATATCCTATCTTCCCCACATACCTAATAAATGGCTCTTGAATTGAATAGTACTATCCGACCTTGCAATAAATTAATTTTTCTAGACTTCTGCTTCGACATCTGTAAAATGAAAGACATACAGGCTTTACAATTTGGATGCTATGAAGATCTCAGGTAATCTACAGAAGCGTTTACCAAACTGTAGTAGTTCAATTATTTAGGAGAGCTCTAAGTAGATACAATTCACCACTCTATTCCAGGAAATTCAATTTCTGGTGACCGAAAAAAAATATGAAGAATCTCTACATTATTTTAGTAGTTGGTAAACTTCACTGTCAAAAATGTGCTTCTGATGCTATTCAGTTTTCAAAGTAAATTTCTGTTAATCTAATAAGACTGCTGTGGGCTTCCATTATAAAAATGGGGAAAAGTCTTCCCCTGGGGGGGAGAGGGAGATAAAGACTTGATACCTCCAAATATGATTTTAGCATCACACACAAGCAATCTTTTAAAACTGAAATAAAAAGAAAATGCTGAAGTATTACAATGAAAAGACAAACTGAAATGAATGGAAAATGCATTTAATAAGCACTATTGGCCAGGCACCATGCTAAGTGTTGGGGATAAAAATATGAAACCAATCTCTACTCTCAAAAGAAGTTTCATTTTAAAGAGGAAAGCCAAAAAATACATGTGGGGGGGGGGCATGGGTAGGAGGTTGGTGGTAAGTAGAATAACAGGGCAGTCAAGTGAAGCAGGGTAGTATTAATTTGATTGTAGTTCCCAGTTCAAGGGTTGGAGGTAAAAGGGAGAGGTGTGATAAGATGAAAGAGGATGATAAAGGCTGAAGAGAAATTGTCTTAAGACAAACAGCAAAAAGACAAGAAAAATAAATTGAGAGAATCAAAATCTTAGCAAAGAACAAACACAATCATTGCTTTTTTTTGCAGGTAATATGATGGTTTTGGAGAATCTAAACTGAAAAATTACTAATTAAAACAAGCCCACACAAATCAAATTTTCTGTAAACTACCATCCAAACTGTATGAAAAGATGAAGAATTCACATTCAAAATAACTACAGCATATATAAATATCACATTCAAAATAATTATATAACGTATAAATATCTGGGTCTGCATTTATCGAGACATACAGAGAAATTATATAAATACCACAAAATACTCTTTACAAAAATACTTAAAGAGATATTAATTACTCATAGTTGGGTTATACCAATGTAATAAAAATGACAAAACTACATAAATCTATTTACAGATTCAGTATTATTATACTAACGAAACTACCCCAAAAAAGGTTACTTTATAGAACTATACAGAATAACAAATTCTTCTGGAAGAACAAAAAGAATTTTGAGAGGGGAAAAAAAAAGTTGGACAGAGGGGAGCTTAGTAACATCAGTTCTCAATCTATGTCACAAAGTAGTAATCATCACAACTATTTGGTTTTGGTTAAAAAAAACAGGAAGGTTGATCAGTGGAACAGCTCAGGCAGACAACATGGAGAAACAACTCAATATAGTGTAATAAAAAGAAAAGGACACTAGCTACTAGGCTAAGAGTTCACTATTAACAAATAGTTGTTGAGAAAACTGGAAAGTACTCTGGCAGAAATTAGGTTTAGGTCATTATTTGATACCATATACTAAATGGATATGTAACCTAAATATAAAAGATCCTATCATAAATTAGGAGAAGTGAAAGGGATATATTTCACAACTATGGCCAGGAAGTGAATTCTTTACCAAATAAAGGACAGAGGGGAGCACAGGAGATAAACATGGATAATTTTGACTACATAAATTGTAAATTTTTTTCCACAAACAAAAACAATGAAGTTAGAATGAGAAGGGAACTAATTAACTAAGAAAAACTATCGTAGCAAGTTTCTCTAATAAAGGTGTGATATAAAGGAGAACAACTAGGTGGCGAAGTAGATAGAGTACACTTACTAGCTGTGTGACTCTGGGCAAGTCACTTAATCCCAACTGCCTCAATGGAAAAAAAAATGAAAGATGTGATATACAAGGGGAAATTGGCAGGCAGGCAACAAGCATTAAAGTGCTTACTACGTGCAAGGTCTTAGGTATTGCTCTAAGCACTGGAGATACAAATTCAAGCAAAAGCCCTCAAGAAGTTCACATTCTAATGAGGGTGGGGAGAAGACAACATAGAAAAGAGAACTCAAAAACAAGGAAGAGTAAAAGGGGGTGGGGTAGAGCTGGGAGATCAAAGCACCTACACAGCTGCATGGTACTAAAGTTCAGAATGCCAAAAGTACAGTGGGGAAGGAAACAAAGGTTGGCCAGCCCCAAGCTGCTCCTCCAAATGGACACCCCTGGAGGAATTCACCAGAAGAGAAGGCATGGCAGATGGATGTTCTAAGGTGAGAAGGACGAAATGCTGCATGGACATTCCAGGGTAAGAAGGTTACAAGTCTTGACGGAGGCTCTAGAGTGAAACTGCAGCTAAAGCAGTGTTGGAAGTCCAGAAAGTCAGAAGCACACATATAAGGACAGGAGACATTCCCTAACTGATAAATAGTCAAAGGATCAGGCAAGGTCTCAAAAGAAGAAGCTGCTAACAACCATACATAACAAGCTATCAAGCAGCACATGAAAAATGCTCCAAATCCTTAGTAACAAGAGAAATGCAAATTAAAATAACCCTAAATTTCTACTTTACATCTATCAGATAGCAAAGATTATTGAAGTGGAAAATCACAATTGTTGGAGAGCTCTGGGAGGACAGAAACACTAATACTCAGTGAGTGGTGCTATATATTGATTTAACCATTCTGAGAAGAAATTTAGAACTATTTCCCCAAATTCATTAAATTACGCATACTTTTTGACTCATGGATACCACTTCTACATGGCACATAGTTTAAAGAAGTCAAAGGAGCTGTATGTAGGCAAATGAGTCCTAGTAACTCACCACTAATGCAGCCTTTTCATAGTGGTAAAGAACTAGAAACAAGGTGGGTACCCACTATGTGTGGAATGACTGAACAAATCATGGTATATGAACAGATTATTGAACCTAAAATTATGAAAGGGATGGTTTCAGAGAAACCTGGGAAGACTTGTATGAACTGAGGCACAGTAAAGTGAATAGAAGTAGATCAATTTCTAGAATGACTACAATATTGTATAAGACAGCAACTATGAAAGATTTAAGAACTTTGATTATCAATGCAATGATCTATTATGACTCCAGAAAACTGTTGATAAAGCTTAATTACCACTTCTCGGGAGGGAGATAACGGACCACAGGTATGGAACCAGACTTAGATTTTCAGATGTGATCAACACATAAATTTAATTTGTGTGACTATACTTATTTCTTATATGGAAAGACTTTTTTTGGTGGGGAGATAATTATGGAGATAGTACTGATAATGCTACCAAAAAAAGAAAAATAAAGGAGTATCAATGAAACATTTTAAAAATATGCAGAAATGAGAGGGAAGAAGTACAGAAGCCTCAAAAGCAGGGCAGTGTATGACTGTTAAAATTAAGAGATTTTTTAAAAAACAAGGTGTGTACAAGAGTTACAATTTCATAATATATAATCTTTTTTTCTATTCTGTGTACACAGATATGTACATAATAAAGAAAATTAAGGGATAGGGAGACTGCTCATTTAAATTCAATAGATGACTGACTGTCTTTTAAAATTTCATTCTAACTCTAAGGGGCATTGTTACAGTGTTATACCTTTATGGCATCTACTTACAAGTATTAAGATGATACAATATATGTCTGTTTACCTCTTTATGTATACATTTCTGTCTAGATGCTCTTTAGTCTTGGAAACAAAGATCATTCCAGTTCAATGTTGAAACACACTAAAAACAAGTTAAACTGAATTTGTATTGGAACTTGGAGATTTCTGGAATTAGGTAAATTTAAAAACTTTAAAAAACTAAGATACAAAATGTTAAAATAAAAGTCCATATATTAACTAAAAACCTGAAGCATATAATCCATCTAAGGAACAGCCATATCAATTACTATTTATCTTCATATCCTGAATTTTCTTTCCTTGAACAAAACAAGGGAAACTTTTATTTAAACCAATCTGTACCTTACTGAGGCTGGAATAGAAAATTCCGGGAACTTTGTCTTTTAAGGTCCTGTTTTCAGTTCTGTGCTTTTTACCCCCCAGACCAACGGGACTTCCCCTGCAACTGGTTCATAAGATGACATGATTTAAGCTCAGAGGGGAACCAGCTAAATGCTATGAAAACAAAATATCACACCACCACTACATACTGTTTCAGGTGTATCTACAGTTTTATTACAAAATCATTTTGTCATTTAGTCAGTGAAAGCGATAGCAAGATATTACCAGTGCAGCTTCTGTAATAGCTCTAATGTACTGCAGCAATTGTGTTCCTTACTTATAGTCTATGTTACCTCCACAACATACAAGTTATCTGCAATTGTTACCGCTGCAAGTCTGAATTCATATATACTATTTAGGAAGGAGCTGAGTGGTAAGAAATAGGTGAAAAGAACAGACTGTTTAGGGCCTTTAAAAATAAACAAACATGGAATTATTTATTATTCAACAATTCATTTGGGGATTGTTATTTTAAGGAATTATTTTACTTTAAAAAGACAGCCAAATTAATACTTCTAGAGTTAGTTTGAATAGCAGCAGTGCCCAAAGAGTACTTATTATGCTTAGTGCTTGTTAGGAAGCAATACCTGTGCAATGCACTTGCTGTCACACACCCACACAGGTAGAAGGAAATGATCCCTCTGGTTTTAAGCCATGTCACACTTCCTTGTTCCAAGTTTCTTTAAAAATAAAACTATTCCATTAGTGTCTTCTGAATGCTGTTACTGCTGCTTATCTGTTGGCAAACTTCCTTCTGTGCTGTGTTTGTTTTGAAGGGATCTTCCAATATATCTCCAATATTCCTTTCTTATAGTGTCTTTTTCTTTAGCTAGAATTTCACATAACTAGAAATGAAAAATAGTAATACTTTAAGATATAATTCCATTTACAGCCAACCCCACTGTGCTCTAAGCCAATACCTAACAGGTCCTACTAGTAATTAATTTTAGGGCAGTTTTTTAATCTTTCATCACTGTTAACATGTTTTAACATGTCAGTATTTTTTCCTCTTTGGTAGAAGAAAGAAACAGATAAAACAGAAGCACCAGAACAATACCATAAACCACTGGTATTGATTTGATGGCAAGAACACTGCCTAAGGCAGCTTGAGAAGAAGTCTATATGACAGGAAATTTGAAAGATGCTATCCCAAACCAACTATAAGTGAGTTCTGACTTCCTATGAGAGTTAGTTGAACTGTGCTGACTTTATTAGTAAGTATCAGGAGTGATGTAGAATGCAAATCAGATTGCCTGGAATAGAATGTAAGTCCTACTAGCTCACCTCTAATGCTTTATTAAGTGTATCTTCCTTGTTGTCACATTGGTTTTCTAGCATATCTTCATATATGTCCACAAGGAAGGCAATCAGGTAGGGAGAACTGTGACTTGGCTGTAAATCTAACAATTGCTCTAACAGATTGGGATACTTGGAAAGGCCACGATCTTGCAAAATCCTAGAATAAAGAAAAAATACGTTGAGAATTAAAACGAAGACAAGGGAAAGTCTTTGTGCTTTGCCAGTTACATAAAGATGGCCTCAGGTAAATTGTTTCTAATGTGTAATGACAAGGAAAAAGAAAAGAGAACAAAGTGGCTGGCTACTTTGTAGTCATAAGACTAGACCAGGAATAAGGGTACTTCCTATAAGGGGGTTCATTTGATTGTCTTTTGGTTCACAGTTAATGAAAAAGAGGTAGGTTAAAAGTTAAAAGAAATTCGGACTGAAATGCTAAATTAATTCAATCTGACCACGTGTTACTTACTAGCAGTTCTAAGAAGTCTGGTGGGGAAGGAGGTTAAAGTGAAGTTTTCAGAGAGGCCCCTTTCTCCCACAGGGAAGCTCCTCCTGCCCCAGGCCAACAATCCTTCACAGCTTGCTTTTATGTGTTGTCTCCCTCCATTAGAATGTAAGTTCCTTGAGGAAAAAAGCTGTCTTTGCTTGTATCTGTATCCCCAGTGCTTAGCACAGTGCCTGACACATAACAAGAACTTAATAAATGCTTGTTGACTGAATGAAAAATAGATTTACAATGTCCTATTTTTGCATGTATGACCTCTATAAAAATTAAATCCACATTTAAATTTATATTTAAAATTTTCCATCCCAAACCTCATGTATGTAAAATTAAAAAGCTAAGAGTTTATCATCATTAATGATAAAGTGAGTGCTTAAAATTAAAAATGAAAATCTCAAATCAAAAACATCTTACCCTTTTAAATAGTTCCATGCACTTTCATTATGTGGTGCTGTTTTTATCATTTCTAGAGTATATCTGACAAGAGAAATAGAGAGGAGCATGAACACTTAGAAAAGATCACACAACCAAAGGAATTAGGCAAACAACTTAGCTTTAGTTAAGGTTAGTTCTCTCTCCCGCCTATCCATTTATGTGTTTTTTAGTTGCCTTTGGTATCTCTTAATTAGTCACACCTAAATACAGTACATTCAGTCATCAAACTATGATATAAATTCTAGTGATCAGCATCATTAAATAATGTTTATTTATACATTTTCTTTCTCATATTTCCTGCCAATTCTGAGGAGGAGGAGGAAATATAGCCCCCTCAAAGGCAGCAGTAGAAAACAGAATCTTCCCTCATGTGGAGGAAGATCACAACAGAAACAAGGAGTAATTATGCTCTTTGCTCCTGGACTGAAAGCAGTATCACCAATTAACTTTTCTTCACCTTTACTATTATTTTTGGTCACAGTACATAATTGAAGAAGGAAGATGGAAGAACTATGGTTCTATGTTCAAATTAGCCAGGTCAGTGTGAAACTAATTAACAATAACAGCTATTGGGGCAACGAGGTAGTTCAGTGGATAGAGTACCGGCCCTCGAATCAAGAGAACATGAGTTTAAATCTGGTCTCGGACACTCATTAGCAGTGCAACCCTGGGAAAGTCATTTAACCCTGATTGCCTCCCCACCAAATATATATTGCTTTAAGATTTGCAAAGAGCTTTACAAATATCATTGCTTTTTATCTTCACAACAACCCTGAGAAATATGTGACATTATCTCCACTTTATAGATGAGGAACCCTAAGGTGAGAGGTTAAGTGTCTTGCCTAGGGTCACAAACCATGTAAGTTTAAGGCAGAATGTGAACATAGGTCTTCTTGTCTCCAAGTCCAGTACCCTATTCACTGCACCACCTATCTCTAAATTACTTATAAATTATTATTAATCTACAAATACTTTTGTTGATGCTATGTACTAAGAAGGAAACGTATAACTTAGCTTTTCAGAATGTAGTCATTGATTAAAGATGCCCAAAGTTCTACCCTGATTGCTCATGGTGACAACACTACATTCTTTCTTGAAGGCTATGCCAACACAGGGAAGGCTACCACTCTAGAAATATTCTCACTATGTTCCCAGAGACTGTCTGCTTCCTGAGGACCCCTAACTTAAGAAGAGAAAGAACTGCAGGATTCCAAGAAAAGACTTGTATGAATGGATATAGAATGAAGTGAGAAGAACTGACAAGTAAAAAGAAAAAACTATGACACTAGCTATTTTGTTGTCACAAGAAGACTAGTGCAGAAATGAGAAAGGACTGCTTTACAATACAGCCCATTAAGGAAAAAGGCTTTTCCTATAAGGGAGTTCATTTGACTGATCAATGTACTTGATGACCATCATAATGTGAGTGCTACTGTGCTGTAAGAAATTGTGAAGGGGACAGTTTCACAGAAACCTGGGAAGACTCATGAACTGATGTAGAGTGAACTGAACAGAACCAAGAGAACAATCTCTATAGTGACAACAATATTGTAAAGTCAAACAGCACTAAAAGATAGCAATTCCCATTAGCGTAATATCCAATCAATTCCCAGAGAACTAAAGATGAAGTATATCCTGACAAAGAGATAAGAGACTCAAATTGCAGAATGAGATACACACATGCACACATAGTTTTTTTTTCTTTCAGACATAGTCAATGTGAAAATTTGTTTTGCTTAGTTATACATGCTTGTAACAGGTGTTTTGTTTTCCTTTCCTTCTTAAGTGGGAGGTAGGAGTGGGCAGATTTTTACTAACTGAAAAATAAAATTTAATTTAAAATTTAAAAACATAAAAAGAGCACCACTAAAACATTTAATAAGTTACACAGACGGAAGAAGTGCAAGACAGATCAAAAATAGACAAATGTCTAATTACTTCGTTAAGCATAGAAATGTGTTTAAAAATAACTAAAACACTGTATGTGGCAGAAGTTCAGTTTCTCATATGGTTCTCTTCACATTTTGAAATGTTTATGATTGTTGAACTCACAATAAATAAAAAAATTTTAAAACCTAAGAATGGAGAGGTTTACTGTAGACTGGCCACTCTGTGGTAAATTCTTTGGCCTTAAGCAACCCATGAAAAAATAAAAAATGTTTCTGTGTCCTGCATTAGTCCCCTTTCAGCTTTCAGGCACCTGCCAAAGTGGAGTAGCAGAAAGTGCTAAGGATGGCTTATAGATCATCTAAACACATTAATTTTCCTGGTGATATTCTAAATAGAAACTCTTTGACCAAAGACCAAGAAGATATATAAATGAAATCAGAGAACCCTATCAGGAAATTGGTTTGACCCACAAGTTCTCAGAGAGACAAAAAAAGATTTGGCAGAGTTGGTTTCACAAGAAGAAACACCATTTGATGGAAACACTTGGTAGTCTTGCCTTATAGGATTCATGATGAGCATTATGAAGATAATTAAAGCTTATATACCAAAGCCAGGAAAACAATATGCACAGTAACTGCAACAATGTCAATGGACAAGAACCACCACCAGAAAATAATAAAAACTGATTGTTGTAAAATTATAAAGACTGAGCTTAGTCCCAAAAAGAGATAGAGAAGATGCCTCTCCCACACTCCTTTGTAGAAGCTGGGCTCCATATGCGTGGAACCCTGCAAATGAAATCAGTTTTAAAAACTGTAATCAGTTTTGCCAATTTTTTTCCCTCTCAGTTTAAAAAAAAATCTTTTTTATGGATTCTTGGGAATGGGAGAGAAAGGAAAGACATAAGGGAAAATGTAGGGGATATGAAAACAAAAAAACCAAAAAGGATGGAATCTAAAAACCAAAAACAATACGAAAAGCTTATATACCAACAACTACTAGAGAGGATAAGGAAATAGATCCTCTACACTTAGTCAATATCTACCTTAACATGGTAACTTCAATGACAAAGCAGGTCTGAGGAGGATAGCAAAAAATATGATTTAAAATTAAGAAATAAAAATGGCTATGAGTTTATAGACTCATAGAAGCCTCATTTTCAAAAGTCAGAAGGCAATGGTTATTGTAAATTGAATGACATCAAAGAAATGAAAATGGCTATCTTACTTAACAGACAGGGAACTGGTACTGGTTTGTGGAGTCGTTTCTGAATCAGGAATCAATGGACTACCTTCTGAATGCTGACTATTCAACCACTTGTTAGAGCAAAGCTGAAAATCAATACCAAATTAGCTCCAACTTGACCAACTGATATAAAAAAGCTAAGTGGGACAAAGACAGAGATGTGTAACATCATTATTCAAAAAGTTTAACAGATGTAAAGCAATCACCACCCCCAAGGAGGCCTAAAGACCCTAAAAACTAATTCAGTTAGAAAACATAATCATTGGGTCAAATGGAAAAACATGTCAGACATGGATCATTTGCAAATTTTACAGAGGTGGATAGTGGAATAAAAGTATTACTACATTATAAAATAACAAGAAGGAATGGAGAGATAAACAGGTTAAACAACATCCTTAAAGTCACATAGCTAAGCTTGGTGTGAGATCAATTAGGACAAATTATCCAAAGAGCATTTAAAATGAAACTGAAAAGTCAAAGAGATGAAAGTGGAACAAGTGTATTTGGAACTTAAACACCTATGTCTCTAATGTACTACATGAGGAAGGGGAAATGGCATTAAAGGAGAAAAAGACAGAAAAAGCAGCTGGACCATACAAGGGACACAAAAAAAAATCTGTGCTGAAATGGCAACACAATTTTGAGAATGCTGAGGAAGTCTCAAAACACCAGGGAGTGGTTAAGAAGATAAGGAATAACTGGAAGAAACTGTAGATAATGATGGGATAAATCACTGTAGAGAAAGAAGTCCTTTTTTCTCATCACCAATGGCAACAGCAGCTGACCAACTTCTACCAATAGACAGATAAGTACAAGTGCCCTGAAGCAATACCTGTAGCTCACTAGTCCTATTTCTCAAAGCCTAAGCTTCACAACATTTTTCCAAGGAAGTAACTCTTATAGAAAAGAGGTCCGCCATCCCCACTAACTACCACTCACAACTTGCCTAGGGAGGCAAGCCAGTCTAGCCAAAGAATAGGGGCACCCAGAGGGGAAAGAGCATGTATTATGTGCCAGGCAAGTTAAACCACCTCTATTTTGCCTGCCATATCTCCTCAGACCCTGATGGGATAGCCAAGGATCCTGAGTCAAGAACCCTGTGAACAGCTGTGCCCCTCAAACCACCAGACCTACCTCTAGCCCAACCCCCAGTCAACACTGATAAAAGAAACAGCCTTGAGGAATGGACCCTACTTTCTCATCATCATGTGGAATAATAGCTCACCAACTCCATCAAGAAGTAAATAAGCACAGGAACCCTGAGAATGGCATCCTCCAGACCTCTGGTTCTGTTTCAAGGCCAATTCTCAGAGCCATCACCTAAGTAAGTGGCTCTTTCGAGGGCTAGTCATCCCCATGGGCTGCCACTCAAAGGACAGGTAGTCTAGCCTAGCTGAAGCCAAGGAGTACCCTGAGGAAAAGATGGGAAGCAGTATGTGCTGGGCAGGTGCCACCTTCCCATCATCTCCTCTTTGACTCAAATAGAAACAAGAGCTTTGGGAACAGCAATGTTTCCAGGCCAGTACCTGCTGCCACCATTCTGGAAAGTGACCCCTTTGGAGATGCAGCATGTCAACTGCTCCTTCAGATGCTACAATCATAGCTACTAAAGATCCTGAAAAGAACATTCTTGCCACCAAAATCCTTGGCACTATCAAATGGTTCAATATCAGAAACTGGTATTTTATCAGTGGAAATGACATTTAAAAAGAGGCATTAATATCTGTTTCACTGTTGCACCCCCCCCCCGGACCACAGGACTTTCCCATCTGGCTTGCAGTTGATATACTTCTACTAGGTGAGGCTATATAACCGCAAATTAAGGAACACTTTCTCTGAAGAATAAAAATTGCTGGTATAACCTGAAAGGCCATGTAATAACAGCTAGTATTTATGTAATGCTTTAAAGTTTGCAAAGAGCTTTATATACATTGCTAGCAATGACATACATAAGAGATGACAAAAAATATTATAGAAGTAGGATTTAAGGACCCAAACCTAGAGGAAGAGATCTCTTGGTTATCCCTCTTATAGAGGATTTATGAGAGGACAAGGCAAAGGATGAACAGGACGAGAAGGTATGCACAGGTTGTGATTTGACCCACTGAAGGGAATACCCAACTCAACAAGATCAGAGATCCACTCAAATATTTCTAAATTAAAACAATAGCATTAAATTGCAAAATGGTCCAGAAAAAGAGCTCCCTCATCATTCTTTCACCTATGGAAGGCATTAAAGTAAGGTCAAGTCTTATTACCATGAATTCCAAGGGAAATGCAGCACTAAAACTTTGTTTTACAAAAATACTTAAATTAGCAAGGCACTTAAATCAGCACTGGGCTTTAGAAATGGTCTAGAGAGTTACATGAACATTTTCGTTTATTCTCTGACCTGAATATTGTTGTCCACTGGAACAGGTAACTGCCCTAAGCAGAATTATGAACCAGTTCTTATGCAAGGAACAGAAAGACGAGAAGTAAAAGTCATTTTTGCAAAACCTAACTTCTCACTGTCTTACCTTGAAATTTAGAATCCATTATACTCCTCTCTTCCCAATGAGTTTTAAGAACAATTTGATTTCACTGAGTACTGACTTTAAATAATTAGACCAGAAGGACTATTCCAAAGAATAACATACAAATAGTTACTTAATGTTTCTCAATGGTGAAGAAATACTGTCTGAATTCATTTCTGGTCGTTATGTAGTATTTAGGTCTACTGAAATGACTTTTATAACTCAGACTATGACTGGCTACCTTAAACTAGGTTTAAAAAGGACAGAAATTTTTACTTTAAAAATAAATTCTAAAGCAAGTTATTAACTCAAGTATAAAACCAAGCTAAGACCAAGCTAAAACCAAGATAAGAGCTTGCTACCCCACCCATTGTCATGGATACCTTATAGAGGTATAAATAAAATTTACCACTAAACTGGGTATTTCTAGCTCCAAAACTACTCTGCTACTTCAAGGTACTATTTATCAAAGTAGTACTTAGCTTGACATTTTTTGTGAATGGGATGAATATTCACATAAGTCAAATATAATTTGATGATTGCTTCAAAATTTCAAAGCTCTGATTCCACGGACTTTCCCTACCGGTACAGACAGTAATTCCTCCATAACTTACACAGATGGTTTAATGAGTGGTTATAGCCAGGATAATCTTGGTGACATGACTTAGACCTGTCCTTAGACAACAGACAATTTGGTATGACCTGCTAGAGGTTGTACTCCACAGCCTTTGAGAACTTATGAATGCCTCCACATCAATCAATAAATAATCCATCCACAACCATTTATTTAGCTCATACTCTGAACGAGAGTAATGGCACAGTACAGTGGAAAAAACATTCACTGTGTCTGAAGTCAGAGGACCAAAATCCACCTCAGATACTTGCTATCTGTGGGACTATGGGCAAGTCATTTCCCCTCAGTTCCCTCATCTTTAAAATGTAGGACTGGATTAGAATAGCCTGAGTTCCCTTCTAACTTTAGATCTCTTATCCTCTGGCAGTCTCTGATCTCAAGTAGCTTATATTCTACTGATAAGAGCTCCTGCTTGACACATCTCCTTGAACCATCACTGGAACACTTTATTAGCCCTGTCTTCCAAATGAGAAAACTGAAGCTCATAGAAGTTAAGGTGTAAGTCCCTGGTATCACAAGGCAGGATTTGAATCCAGATTTTCTGCTCTATATTCAATGCTCTATAATCACCACACATCATGTTGCCTCCATTGGAGGCACTGGAGGCAATTTAGCAGACCTTTAAAATAAGCCTTTAAAGTAGCCAAAGGGTACTAGAAAAATATGACTTCTCTTGCGGTAATGACCCCAAAAGAATTTTAAAAAACTACAAATGTAACCAGTCACTCTAGAAGTATACTAACTGGACTTCTCTCTCCAGGATAGCAGGATCATTGTAGCCTGAAGTGTTAGAAATTACAAAGTGTCTTTGGTTCCAGACAGAGTTATTTCTCACATCTTCTTTGAGAAGTTGGTCTACATATTGCAGCTCATTATCCCAAAGTTTGAACTCCTAAAGAGAAAAAAAAGAGACAAATCTGGAATTCTATGATTATTACACTTGATATGCATTTTTAAAAATTTTACATTACTCAAAATCATAAGCCTCACTAAGAGATAACAATGAACAAGTTTTTTTGAAGAAAAAAATTCATCATTAATAGTCTAGCTACTTCAATATAAATTGCACTGTATAAATATAAACTTTAGTTAACTTTTGATTGTCCTAATAGTGATGAAGAATAAAGTTTTTAAAGCTGCAAGAGACCTTAGAGACGTTCTAACCCTTTTATTTTGGGAATCAGGAATTCTTAGAAAACTCCAAAATGTCTAAATTCAATTATGTCAATATTTCAAACAAAAAGAAGCCTACAATGCAGATAAAATTCAAAAGGAACAAGTTTTTTTTCCCAATTCATTGCCCTGATCAGTAATTCCTTTCTAGCCTCACCTTTGAGGAGAGCTGCCTTCATCCTTTCTAATTCTCCTTTCTAGCTCACATCTCTACTGGGAGTAGGAAGTAGATAATAAATATTTTTTATTTTAAAAGGCTCTTCTTGAAATCGAAATGTTGTTAGGTGAGAGCCAAAAGGAAACAGAGAAGGGCAGCATGTTAATGAAGTTGGCCGAAAGCAAAACAGTACTGCCTCAGCTTCAGTGCCGAACTCTACTAACAACAATTTACAAATTTGCCAGGATAGAGCAATAACGAATAAATCAATTCCATAATTCTTTTGACTTCAGCATATCTACAGGAATGTACTTATCTCCTACTATGTGCCCAGCATTATGATAAACACTATGTGAATTGGAATTTAAATATAAAACACAGCCCCTGCTTTCTAAGACTTTGTTTTGTTAGATAAGACTAACAGTTAGGGAACAACTAAGAACTAACTGCAAAGGTATGGTCTGTACTTTTATAGAAGTAATAATAACTGATACAGTCTGGTCAGTCTAGGCATCCTTCCTCTAGAGGAAGGAAGAAAGAACGTGGCCAGAAACAACTAGAATAACTAATGAATTAAACAACCTACTAACTATTGAGCACCAAAGTAATGTTACCTACTCCTGTATGCATCCTTATCTAATAAGCTTACTTAGGTCCGATGTAATCAAAGGTGCCAGAAGTCTCCTTATCCTACAATGATGCGTTTGTAAAGTGCTCTAGTTTCCTTTGCTTGAGTAAAAGCTTAAACTCCAATGTTCAGGAGCCATTCGGGTCAGTCAGCAGTGTTGGCAGATTTGATCAGGTCATGGATAGAACTCAAATGTGCTGTAGCAGGCCTGAATGAAGACAAAGGGGACCAAAGTGGCCTATGTCCTTGCTATAACCTTTGTTTTAAACATCAATAAATTATAACCGGGCAAGCTGCTTTTAACTGTGTACTGTCCCTTCTCCTTAAATACGAATAAGATCATTACAGAAACAATAGTTACTTATATATGGATGGTGTTTTATAGTTTACAAAGTACTATCACAAGTTATTTCATTTGATCTTTACAACAACCAAGTGAGGTTGTTTGCACGTCCCCATTTTACAGATAAGGAAACTCAGACCCCAAAATGTTAAGCAACTTGCTCAAAGTTACATAGCTAACAAGTGGCAGACAGAAGCTGCACTCAAATCCAGGTCTTCTGGTCCAATGTGCTCTTTCATCTGCCTCCACGTCTAATGCAACATATGTTTGGAGAACAGAGAAAGGGGGGGGGCGGTGTTAGCTGAAGAAAGTTTCACACAGGAAAAAGGACATTGATATTGAATACTGAAAAACTGCTTTGATGGGGGTAGGAGAGTTGGAAAAGGGGATAGTAGGTGGGGAAACTCGAAGTATTAAAGGGAATGAAGGGGCAGCTAAGGAGCACAGTGGATAGAGCACTGGCCCTCCAGTCAGGAGGACCTGAGTTCAAATCTGGCCTCAGACACTTACTAGCTGTGTAACCCTGGGCAAGTAACTAACTTAACCCTGACTGCTTCCAAAAATAAAATAAAAATACAGGGGATGAAGGTAAATAATTAGAAGTGAGACACAGATTGTACTTGGAAAATATAGAATTATACAGGAAAATAAAGCTTTGAAGAGACAGTAGGAAATTTTACCTAAGTAATGCAGTCCCTGAAAACTAGATTAGGTCAAACAAAAATCAATGACTTTATGAGTCAGCAAGAAATATTAGAACAAAATCAAAACGCTGAAAAAAGTTGAAGAAATTCTAATATTAAAAAAGTGACCAAAAAAAGGTCAAGAAAAGTAAATTTAAGAATCACTGGATTCCTTGAAAACCATTATTTTTAAAAAGCCTGGACAATGTATTTCAAGAAATCATAAATAAAAATTGCCTAGCTCTATTATTAGAACCAGAAAGCAAGGTGAAGATAGAAAGAATACACTAATCACTTCCTGAAACAAACTCCAAAATGAAAAGTCCCAGGAATATCAAAAACTCCCACATTAAAGAAAAAAATAAATGTACCCAGAAAGAAACATTTCAAATATCAAAGTCAATCAGAATCACAAAAGACCTGGCAGCTTTTTGGAATTTTTGGATGAATTTTGGAATATAATACTACAAAAGGGAGAAGAAAAAAGCTTACAACTAAGAATAATTTACTCTATAAAACTAAGTATAATCCTACAGGGACAAAAAAAAGAGCTTTTAATGGAAGAGGACTTTCAAGCATTTCTGATGAAAAGACCAGAGCTGAGTAGGAACACTGAAACATAAATTAAAAAAGTCCAGAGAAACTTAGAAAAAAGTGAATTTATGTGAGTATGTAGAAGGGCCTGTATAATCAGAGAAAGCTAAAATTCTAAAAGTGGGGTGGTTGAAGAAATAAATGTCACTTCAGAAACATAACATATTTAAAAGATATTTGAGGGAGTTAAAAACAGGATGTGAGAGTGAACTGGTTCTATTCTGTGTGTTTTAAAAGGAGTAGTAGAGGGGGCAGCTAGGTGGCGCAGTGGATAGAGCACTGGCCCTGGATTCAAGAAGACCTGAGTTCAAATCCGGCCTCAGACACATAACACTCACTAGCTCTGTGACCCTGGGCAAGTCACTTAACCCCATTGCCTAGCAAAATAAAATAAAATAAAATAAAATAAAAGGAGTAGTAGAAGGCAAGGTAAAAGAAATACGTTAGTACAGAAATGAGGAAGGGGGGGTAGAACTAAACAAGGTATGAGAAGATTATATTGGGGGGGGTGAACAGTAGAACTCAGATAAGCCTCACTCTTATTTCAAATTAACAAAGGTGGGTTGAACACACATCCACAGTTTGGTGTAGAAATACATCAAACTCAACAGGTATATAAGCCTGGGATGCAGTTGGAGTTGGGAAGTGGATAAGAGAAATGATACCTGGAAGGAAACAGCCACAAAATAAACTTCTTGATCCCAAAGCGGAGATTAAAAGGTGGGGGGAAAAAAAAACAAAAACAGAAAAAATCTAGAATCTAAGTGAGTCCCCATCAATTTGGGAATGGTTGAACAAACTGTGGTGTATATAAACGCAATAGAATATCATTATACTATAAGAAATGACCAAAAAAATTTCAGAGAATTCTAGGTAATATGTTTTGATGCAGAGTGAAGTGAACAGAACCAGCAGTACAATTTACAAGACCGATAACATTGTGAAGAAAAACAGCTCTGAAATACTTAAAAATTCTGATCAATGCAGTTACCAAACATGCCTCCCAGGAGGAACTATGATAAATCATGTAATCATTCTACTGACAGAGAAACAACAGACTCAGGGTACAAAAAGAGACATATTATCTATGGCCACGATATGGATTTGTTTTGCTTAACTATGCTTACTTGTTAACGTTTTTTCTTCTTTTTGCTTTTAAATGAGGGGAGGGAGGCAAGCTAAGAGGGAAGAAGTAGTAATAATGATGCAAAAGAAAGAAAGAAAGAGGACCACTGAAACTTTTTTCCCCCAAAATGCAAAGGAGAACAGAAGGAAGAAGTTCAAAGGAAAGAGCAGCCAAGCAGGAGTTTTGAAAATGATGTTTACATTTATTACATACTTTTCTTAAAAAACAACAACAACAACAACAAATGGTTCCATTCACTGTCTTCTATTAGGTGTTGTGCAATATGGTAATATTATTTTTTGGTATTTAAGTTTAGAATAAAAAAATTTTTTTAAATAACAAAGTAGATTGGGGAGCCTAGGAAAATACTGAGGATAAGAGGAGGAACCAGTTAAGTTGTTCAGTCATCAAGCATTTATTAAGTACTTACTATGTTTGAGGCACTGAGCTGTTACAGAAATAGGGAAGGGGAATGAAAGGAAGCAATCACAAAGGTTGCAGAAGAACCAGGAAAAGTACAGTTCCTTAAAAGCCAAAGGAAGCAGAATTTTAAGGAGTTTCACTCCTTAAATGCTATGGAGAGGATGAAGAAAATAAGAACTGACAAAAGGCTGGATTTTTATTTGACTCAATAATTGGCAAACTAGTCAGTAATAATTTCAGTTTTATAGTTCATTTTAAAATAGACTTGGTTAGGTACAATCAGGAAATACTAATTTTAGTGAAAAGCTAAGTTTTATATTCCTTTAAATTTATGATTATACAATATAGCTCCTTAGGAAAAGCTTCAACAAGGAACACCAAACATCAAAGACCGGTCAAACTATTTCAAACTAAGGTTTTCTATGTGGAAAGCTATATAGAGTTATTTTTTTAAAGTTTATTGTTTTTATTTTAACTATTTGCCAATCATATGTGAAATTATTCCTTTTTTTAAAGTGATGATTAACTTGTACAAATTCAATCAAATATATTAGATTCAAAACTAAAAAATGGAATTACATGCGCTCAGTTTTTACAATCTTGAAATCACATGACAATTGCAAGGGGCTTTGGAATTATCACCTTTGAAACTTTGAGCTAAACTGAGTGATGTGTTGCATCCTCTAAACGCCTCTGAAAAAAAGGATTATTAAAGTAATAATGGACAACTCTAATCTAACTTGGTTGGAAGCTTGGAATTTTAAAGGAAAGATCTTTTACTTCTTAAAACAAGTAAGGAAAATAGCATTTATGGGAAAAATTTTATAAGGAAAAACAATTTCAGTGTATGCTATCTTATATAATTTTTTTCAGAGCATATCATATTGCTACTTTTTATCTTCTATTTAACATAAAATTTTAACTTAGGAACATGAAAAATGGCCACTGAGGGGGAAAAAAAGAATTACTCTAAATTTATGCTCTTATTGTTAAAGAACATGTCCAAAAGCCTAAATATTTAATTAACGCTATATTCTGTGAATTGGCTGTATTTGAAATAGTTTCAATCTGTACTGGGGAAATCATTAAAAGGCAGTCACATATAAAATATTTCCCCAAGAAAAATTTTGATGACACTTTCTTTGTTCCATGACCTTTTCTGCTTTCTTTTGTACTTGCAAAAGGTTTGTGACATTTTAAATTTGGAATAAATTGTGTGTAGGCTTTTTTTAAAATTTCAATCGAGTTTTACTTTGTTTAGCAACTTTTGGATATATTATTCACTAACAGACTTAATATCAACATATTCAAGTTCAACCTACAGAAAACATCAAAGTTGACCAACATTAAAGGTTTTCTTTTTTAAAAGACTCAAACAAGCACTTTAGGAAATCCAAACTATATGGAAATTACTTTGTGTGTTTTACTTCAAAAACATAAGACTTAAATTTTAAAGTTTATTTTAAGACAAACTCTAGATTCCACATTAAGATAATAATATAGGCAAGACACTTTACAACTCTATAAATGTGAGTTGAAATTGTTATAACAAACAACAGAGAAGACAGTACCTGAATGACCCACTGTCGATGTTGCCAGGCATGGTAGTTCTTTGCATCCTGGTTAAGAATATCAGCAATAAAATCAAGCTCCTGAGATGGATCCTTTAGCCACTCCACTAATACTCGCCTGTGGTGCCTAAAGCCCCAAATAAATGACATAAACATTGCTTAATATTAAGTGAATTCAATAATCAATTCTTTTTTTTTAATTTTATTTTTATTAGGCAATTGGGGTTAAGTCACTTGCCCACGGTCACACAGCAAGTAAGTGTCAAGTGTCTGGTCTGATGATGGATTTGAACTCAGGTCCTACTGACTTCAGAGTAGGTGCTCTATCCACTTCATTACCTAACTGCCCCCAATAATCAATTCTTAAACACCCTCTAGGCACAAGTCACCAAACTTGATACAACAAGAATTAAACACCCAGCTGCATACATAGCACTGTCTTCAGTAGAAATCACAGCCCTTGAATTCAAGGAGCTGACAATACCCAAGGAGAAGAAAACATATTAAAATCACCTCAGGGATTGATACAAATTACAGATGGCATAGTACAAATCATTTATGAGTCAGGTAACACAAATGAGGAAAAGATCAGTTTAGCTAAACCTCCAAAGAATGGATGAACTTGAATTAGCAAAGAATGACTATGGCAATACATTAGCCAGGAAGATCATCATAAACCTCTTCAGAAGTGTTTTAGGGTTAACTAGACAAAGTAAGGCCATGTAGAGTAGTGGGAAGTTCAGTACAGAGCTTTTTCTTTCTGAGTTTGAACAGATGCTTTCTGTTTCTATATAAGTTACTTCTAGATATAGTCATTTCCTCACATGCCCCCTCCCCAGCAAACTCTCCCTTGTAACAAAGAAAAACAGTCAAGCAAAACCAACTCACGATGACCTCATCTAACAGTATTTAACATTTTCTAATTGTAAGCTCCCCTCACTGTTGAAATGAGAGATTTGTATTTCATCATCTATTGTCCCAGAGCAAGACTGGTCATTATAATTACCCAGAATTTAGCAAGCATTTTGCTGTCACCACCCCCACTAAGCTAAATTGTTCAGTAAAGTTACTAAGCTACAATAAAGCAGAAAGGCTGTCATGAGAAAATGACATGGATTTTAATGTGGTATTGTATAAAAATAATAAAACACACACTCTCAGAGTTCCATATAACTGAAAGACGGACACTAGGTACAGTTTTTTTGCTACAATAACTCATGAGATGGCCCATAAAGGGGTTGCGGTCTGCACTGGTAGAAGGTGCAACCATAATGGTGGATTTCTTAAAGTTAAAAAAAAAAAAGAATCCCAACATTTCCCATTAGTCATCACTACTCTCAACAAAACTATACAACAAGCCTCTTGGTCTGGTTAGGAATCATTCATTTAAGAATTTGACAAATATACCTCTTGCCTTTCCAGAATTCATAACCTAACAGTGGTATGAGAGAATTTAATTAAGAAAACTTGATTAAAAACCAATGCCAACTTTCAGGGCCAACTGATTAGCACACTGAAATTAATATGGCTGGCTTTAGGCTAGTCAAACATGAAATCAAGTTCTTTTTATTCTCAAACAATGTTTGATTCTCTGTCTTCCCTAAGGATGTAGTGTAAGACTTCATACATAGAAAAGTATGTGGTTAATAAATAAAAACAACTTCTCATAGATTTTAAAAGATTTTAATTTCTATTTGCTGCCACCAAGTCCAGGGAGAATTGGGGAATCTTGAACAGAACTCAACTGTCAGTTAAGTGGTCACAGGATCACAGATCCAGAGCTGAAAGGGACTTCAGAGGACATCTAGCTCAATTCCCTCATTTCAGACATGAAGAAACTGAGGCTGAGAGAGGTGAAGACACTTAGTCTAGATCACATATAAATCTCAGAGATAGGAGCTGGAACCTGATGCTTTGATTCCAGAGCCAAGCTGGTGTCCTTTCCACAATAACACAAAACCACTAGTAGCATCTTTTAAAAAATTTTAAGACTTTTGGCAATGACTCAGTATCACAAAATAGAAAAGCTGCTCTGTAGACATACACTCATGGTTGTAAAGGCCTCTAGATATCATTTAGTTTCCTTCTTTTACAAATGAGAACAGGTGACCCAGCCAGCTGCAGTGGCAGGAGAACTTTAGCTTGCTATTATATTCTGTAATATAAGCTGTTACTCAATTGAAGATAAAAGAAATCTCCAGTCAATTTGGGCCAAAAATAGCAAAAATGTTCTTTATTAAAAATATTTATAAATATAAGTAAACAGAAAATACATATAGAGTAAAGGTGGTTATCTGACATTTTATACAACAGCAACATTTATCAACCTACAATCCTCCTCTCTGTCAAGTTATGCCATGATTATGGACCTTAGAACAGTAAGATTCTAAAGTGCCTATTGATGGTATCAAAGAAAGATTAAATGATGTGCACTGCTCAGTATGTTTTATTACACAGGCACCCTTCCCATAAGACTGCCTTCACCAGAGCTGTTTTCTAAATAACACCTACAGCTGCAACCAAACCCTTTGGCAACAGCCGTACAATCAAACAATTATAATATTTCTATGGAACCACTCTCATAACATAATAGGGAAATGAATTATATTTTCATAGAACCAATTAATGATACTAGGAAAGGTATGTTTATATGCTAAATATTTAAAAATTAATACAAGAGAATACATAATGCTCAATCATACTATATAAAAGTTTACTGTGTACATGCATAAAAAATAACATGAAACATACAAGCATATATACACAGAACACAGATTATACCATACTATACAATAATAAGGGGGAAAAAATCTTCAGAAGACTTGGAGTAAGACCCACTTAAGCAGAATCATCCTAAGAGAATTTACAGAAGAAATTAGAACAAAAAATGGAACAAATCCGCCTGTGCTTCCACAATTCCTTATTTTTACCTTCCAGACAATTCATCTACCACATGTGGCTTCTTAATACCTTAGTGCCTAATATGTTACATGAGAAAGTATGAACAGCACTATAAGTGAAGCCAGGAAGACCAAGGCACACGAAAAAAAAAAATCTGTGTTGGAAGTGACTGTTTTGAAAGCACTGAAGGATTAATTTTCAAGGTATCTGAGAGTTGGAAAAATACTGAATGACTGACAAAGAGTCATAGATGGTATTAATACCCCAAAAGAATATTCAAAGGAATAAGCAACAGATACCAACTAACATGCTGACTTTTTCATCTCCATAAATCCATAATGAGAACAATCTACACATACACATATCAATAGAATCCTTGCTGAAAGTAAGAACTAAGGTTTGCACAATTTCCTAAAGGAGTTCAAACTTCAGTCATTCAATGAACAATTTAGTTTACTAGGACTATATCCATCCCGACCATAAACAGGAACTCTTGAATGAAATTTAGGACCTACTCATAAGAGATTATCCCAGCAATCTATTCAGGAAAATGTAAGGAGTTTGTCTGGTTCAAACCAGTGATTTCATCAATGTAGGGAACGCTCTGTGAAGAAACCCTCGCTACTAATATATATCAATGACTGGTCTTTACTCCCTAGTCCTAGTTACCTAGTTAGTGTACACTGAGAGGCCACGTCCCTTGCCCAGGGTCACATAGCTAGTATGGGTCAGAGGCAAGATCTGAACCTAGGTCTTCCTTACTCCTAGTCTACCTCTCTATTCACTATGACATAATGCCTCTTAATTGTTTATACTTTATTTATAATAAAGCATTTGACTTAGTATAATAAAATGTAGCCTTAAACACTCTCCTCCAATAATGTGTCTCCTATGCATATGTTAAAATAATATAAGACTCCTTGATAGATGGAACCACTGAGTTTGTTCAGTTGATCTTCTATCAACACCAGAGGAGGCATAATACAGGGAGATGCATGCTTACCAAAGATGTTCACCTGTCATGGAGGATATCTTGCACAGAATCCAAATGGAAGAGGAACTCCCTATAGTTGCTGAAGTCCTCCAGATGTTGCTGTTTATGGATGATATTGTGCTGATTACATCAAACCCCAGAATATTATAGGACTTCCTCAATGAGATTAATGAATGCTCAAAAGAGATTGTCTTAGCAATCCAATTAGGAAAAAACAAGTAGATAAAGAATGGCTGTCGCCCAGAATAAGACAGGCAGATGGATGGGCAGTCCACCCGGTTAATCAATCAATATCTATCTTGGAGTGACGCTAACTGAACAATGAGCTGGGCACAGAATTGAACAGAAAAAATAGATTCGGGGGCAGCTAGGTGGCGCAGTGCACAGAGCACCAGCCCTGGATTCAAGAGGACCTGAGTTCAAATCTGACCTCAGACACATAACACTTACTAACTGTGTGACCCTGGGCAAGTCACTTAACCCCACTGCCTAGCCAATAATAATAATAATAATAATAATAGTAATAATAATAATAATAATAATAATGATGATGATGATGATGATGAAGTGATCGTGTATTTAAAAAATATATTCAAATTAATATATGGAAAAAAAATCAGCTTTTTAATGACAGTATTTTTCTGGGATGCTACATAGCTGTTAATCATGGAACACCACAATTTCCAAAGAATCAAAATTATAGGTGACCTGAAGAGCAATGGAGACTTAAAGTGGGTATAAGTAGGCTACAGCATATTACCAACAATGATGTGTGCTAGAAATAATGCTGGATTAGGAATCACAATGAACCTACATCCAAATTCTGCCTCTAACATTTAGTAGATTATGTGACCACAAGCATTCACTTAAACCCCTAACCCTCAGATTCCTCCTCTTTAAAGTGAAGATCAGGGGCAGCTAGGTGGCACAGTGGATAGAGCACCAGCCCTGAATTCAGGCGGACCTGAGTTCAAATCTGGCCTCAGATACATAACACGTATTAGCTGTGTGACCCTGGGCAAATCACTTAACCCCACTGCCTAGCCAAAATAAAAAATAAAAAAAAATACATATAATGAAGATCAAATAAAATAATGTATATAAAGTGCTTTACAAACTTTAATGTGCTATATAATATCAGCTACTATCATTACTACTGCATGTAAGAAGTGGCATAAAATATAACACCCAGGAAATTCCTAATCAGGTGGTGGGAACCAGTCATGTAATGAGAACAAAGGTAACACATGGACTATTATTCTTTGTAATATGACCCATGCAATGTCTACCTAGCAGGAGTGTCCCTTATAGAGGATTTTGCGGGAGGAACATGGCGAAGAATCACATTTGTATCCATGACAATAGTGCCTTCACTTGGAGATTACCTTCCATTTACATGGTACATACCTTGTGTGTACATAGTTACTTACACAGGTGATCTGCACAGGAAGAGGAAGTTAACTGAAGTAAGAAAAATCTCAGATCTATTCAAAGTATTAAATAGCAGGAATAGTTCCAGTCCATAAAACATTTCACAGTTTATAAAGCATTTCCTTCATAACAAACTATAAGGTATGTAGTCTGAGTAGTATTTTCCTCATTTTACAAAAGGCCAAACTGAGAGAGATGACCACGGTTATACAATTAATAAGTAGCAGAGCTAGAACTTGAACCCAAGTATTCTGGTTCCAAGTTGACCGCCTCTTAAAAGAAGATCTTTAGCACTAAAAAATAATTTTACAATACACAGGAGAAAGAAAAAGGTTTGCTTATCTTACCAGACTTGGTAGTTTTTGGGCTGTTCCTCAATTATTGCAGTAATATAATTCATTTCTTCACTTAGATCCTTTTGTAGAGACTTTAAGAGAACTCTCCGAAAATGCCTACACCAAAATAACAATCATCAAAAACTTCATTACTCAAAATGTTTTGCATAAACAATACAGCAAAATTTTAGATATTAAGATTATTTTAATAATTTTGCTTATGTTCTTCCTAATGTGAAAGTATATTAAAAACTACTTCTTAGCTTCTCTAGAAATGCTAACAAATATTTTGCCAGCTTAAAAAACCTTTTCCACACTTGTCCTCTCATATGGGTTAGGTCAAGAACAAAAGAACTTTCTTAAGAAAATCGTTAAGGAAGGAAATTAAACTTCTAACAAAGAATATCTCTTGCCTAGTTTGTTTAGATCCCTTCCTATTCCCAGAAGTACTGCGCATACTTAAGGGCAGTGTCTATTTCTCCATTCAAAATGGTTTAAAATATTGCTCAGAGGCAGGAACTCTCTTAAGATTACATCAGGAAAATCCTAGAGGGGAATGGTCAAGGAAGAACTGCATCTCAATATATTGTGATTTCCCACTTGTTCAAAATTCTTACATACATTACTTTAAATTGTCTTAGGGTAGAGAGATATGTCCAAGGGTATGGGGGAATTATCCCTCTAAGCTAGAAATGTATGGGTATTAGACTAACGTTAAATTGTTTCTGGCAGATATGACACCATATTACATATTCTTTTCCTTCCCACCTTTCACAAGGTGTAGCCAAATAGCTTTCTTGCAAGTCTTCAAACACAATACTCCATCTCTCATCTCTATGCCTTTGAAATGATTATCCCATGTTTGGAATAAATTGCCATTTCACTTATATATCTTAGAATCTCTTATTTCTTCAAAACTCTGCTCAATTGCCACCTTCTACAAGAAGCTTTTTCTGACCCCCTAGCTACTAGCGCCCTCCTTCCCCAATTTAAATTGCTCTTATTTTTTATGTACTTACATACACACACATACCTATCCTGTATAATGTAAGCTTCTTGAAGGGAAAGCATTAAAAGATTCCCAAACTACATGACAATCTAAGTGGTACACTTTAAAATCTGGGTTATAACAGGGTTATGTAGTTACAATAGGGTTTTGTAGTTTTTTTCAAATTATGAGAATACATATAGATCAGAGATTCAGAACTGGGCCTTTAGAAGCTTTAATTCTATGGCCTTGCCTTAAAAATGAGGAAATCAAGACCTAAAGAAATTAAAGGACTTGTCCAAGTACAAAGATCGTAGGTTAAAGAATTAGACAACCTGCCACTATGGCATATATAGTGAGTATGAGCCATCTGAATAATTAAAAATAATGTAAATGATCACTTACCACACAGTATAATTAGCTGCATTTAGCTCAATAGCATCTCCAGTTAATTTAAAAGCTCGTTCACTTCTTTCATCACGTTGCAGAACAGCCCGGAAATAATCATAAACATCTCTAACTAGAAACAGAATAGTTAATACAAAAGTATTACAAACAAATATCCTTCTCATTTAAAGTCAGTACTATAACATCCACATTACCTCCTACACTCTGTGCTGTATCTTATATAACACAATCCCTACTCTGAAGTTTCTATAATAGCTCTTATTTAAATACTCACACACGTATTTGTTCCATGGACAAATAAAAACCTGACAAATATAAACAATACTCTTTTTAGTGGTTAACAAGGTTCTACTGTGGTTAAAACAGATCAACAGATTCAGATTTCACACAAGGCTCAAATTTGTCTTTGGATAGTAAAATAAGGGTTAAGCTCAGAGTATTATATCATCATTAATTGTCCAAGGTAGATCAGAAAGGTCAATGGCTTCTGAATCTTTAAAAAGTAGAGGAACAGTTAGTAAGAAAGTGATTTAAGATCAATACGGTAGGTTTGAATTCACTCTCATTTGTATATGCCTCAAATGATATTAGCCTGTGTTTTTCATGTGAGCATACATTATAATGGAGTAATGAAATAATAGAGTGAAAAACAGATCAAATAAAATACGAACTCATTCACAAGTTAAATTGTACAGTCCATATAGCAAACAAGAACGATATCATGAACTACAGACAAGTGATTATGTTATTTGACAACTTTTTTAACATGGCAAAACAATCCATTTCTTGCATATGATAAATTTTGAAACAACAGTAACTATAAAATATACTCCAAAGCAATTAATGGCATTTGCTTATTTGTAGCTATTACAAAGCACCTGACTTTCTAGTTATCCCACAAAAACTGTGAAACTGCAACTTGCCCACTGAATTTTCCTCACTTGCGTGCAAATTACTAGTCAAAAATAAACTTACATTTTTCACTATAAATTATCTGGACCACTGGATTTGGCCCATCATTCTGGGGCACCGGCTCTATATCAGCCCATTCTGGTCTGTCCCTGTAAATATACATTTTCTTTTCAGTGCTTGAAGACAGACAGATAAGAGAAAGAAAAAGGACTACGGTGTTTATTAGATTAAAGAATGACAAATATTATTCTCATTAAACATTAGCTCTTATAGACGCCTCCACATAAATACTGTAAAATCCCATAGAACAAAAAACTTAAGTCATTTTGCTACTACTCATCTTAAGCCTTTACAGTATTATCAAATAAGGTTAGGATTCATAATTATCTTCTCTTTCACAAAAATAATAAAAACTTTTTTACACAGAAAGGTCTTTGAATAGAACAGTAAGTCTTTGCAACAAGTACACAAAGCTTCTAATTTAGAAATGAATCTAAATGCACCAGTCAGAGATCAGAAGTCACCAGATTTCTGTAATTCAAAAGACTCTTGTCTTCAGACTCCGGTTCTACTTCAGTCAGCATTTCTTCTTTGGAATAACAATTTACTAGGAATTTGACATTTTAAAGTCACAATACCACACAGCTTACTGTAAACTATCTAATGTCATCCACTGAAGGTTACTACTATCTTTGGGGGGAACTATCTAACCCATAAGAACAAATTTATCTTTACATACAGCTAAATTGTAACTACAAACTTTTTACGCTGATCCACAATGGTGATGACAGTATAGCTTTCTGACATCCAGTCAATCCCGAAATTTTGCCCATTGTGTAAAAGTACTGGTGACAGGAATGGAAGGGAATAAGCATTTAGTCAGTATCTACCACATGCCAGGCACTGTGCTAAGTGCTTTATAAATATTATCTCATTTGAATGGGGAGACAGACATTAGGAGCACTTAAGTTAGTATAAGATGTGAGACCTAGGGCCTGGAACAACAGCAACAACAGAAAATGGAAATACTTTCAGAAAAAAAGCAGTATTTGGTCTTCCTAGGGCAAAGGTTATAGGTTTTACAGCAGCTGCAAAGCATTTAATTTATGCCTATTCCATAACATTTCCACTGATTTTTAATTATTCATAACATGCATGCAAAAATGCAAGAGCAGAACAGGGATTCCAGATCTCTTCTCCTGACTCCCAAGTTCGGTGCCTCCTCAACAAGCTACTTTCTACTTGAAAATAACTCTAGAGCAGCTTGGTGGTGCAGTGGATACAGCACCAGTCCTGGTGTCAGGATGACCTGAGTTCAAATCCAGCCTCAGATACATCACACTTACTAGCTGTGTGACCCTGGGCAAGTCACTTAACCCCACTGCCTGGCCAAAAACCCCAAAAAAACAACTCTGATCCTTCTGGTATATTTAGGGGTCTAAGTGGTGGAGTGAATACTAGTTACATCCTCTGCTATTCTGGATAGGACTTTTTCCACACTTTAGGGCACTGTAGGGATCCTTTTCCTACCTGCCCCCAATCTGCTTTTCAGATCATTTAAATACAATTACCCAAAGAATATGAGGCAATCTTTCCTAATTAATTCTCTTTGCCAGGTGAAACTGAATTAGGCAACCTATGTTCCCTTTATTTCTGAGGGGGCCGGAAATAAAGAGTAAAAAATGGTCACTAAGAACAAATCACTGAAGGCTCATTATATATAAAAGGGTTTAATTGTTTTTCTTTGTACAAGGGAACATTCACTTGGGGAAGAATTCACTGTGGTATTAAAACAAAATGCAACAAAAACTTATTTTTAAAGTGTTACTGTTCAGTTGTTTCAGTTACGCTCGACCCCATCTGGGGTCTTCTTGGCAAAGGTTGGAATGGTTTGCCATTTCCTTCTCCAGCTCATTTTACAGATGAGGAAACTAAGGCAAACTGGGTAAAGTGACTTGCCCAGGGTCACACAACTAACTAGTAAGTGTCAAGTGTCTGAGGCCACATTTGAACTCAGGTCTTCCTTGACTCCAAGGCCGGTGCTCTATCCACTGTGCCACCTAGCTGCCCCCATTTGCTTTTTTTAAAGTAGGTGGCCTAAACTCGTGTTGTTTGGACCCACGGGACACAAATGGGCCCAGTCAATGTAAGATCCAAAAGGGAGATAGATGTCAGCTGGCCAAAATGAAAAACTTGCTAACAATTAAATGTGGATAAGAGTGGAATATGTTTTCTCGGGAGGTAGTGAATTCTTAATCACAGGATGTCTACTAGTCCAATATATCGTTTCCTCCTCAAGGAATTTGCAATTCTACTCTACCACCCCCTTCCCTCCAATACACAATTTTCCTTTATATAAGTAGCCTTGTTCTATGATCTGAAAAATAAATTGAAGGCAGGTAGGAAATGGTGTCTAAGAGTCTGGAAAACGGAGGCCTTATCCAAAATAGCAGAGGACATGAATGGTATTCACAACTTCTCTCCACCACCTATACCCCTAAACACACCAGAAGGATCAGAGTTGTTTTCAACTAGAAAGCAGGGTGGTGTGGAGGAAAAGGCACCAAACTTGGGAATCAGAAGAGGAGATATGGAATCCCCACTCTGCCCCTTAAAGAGTCAGAGCCAAGTTTCATTTCACCTCTTGGAGCCTGTTTCTCCTTCTGAACAAAACGTGAACGATACTAACACTGGCAGGGGAGGCCCTGTAAACTGGCCTCTCAGTCAGGAAGGCCCAGGATTCAAGAACAACCTCAGCCACATCTTGTATGCGGCTGTTGCATTGGTCGGATAAATTACTCCTCACCACAAGCTCCCTCCACGGATGAAAACATTAGCCCAAGAAAGACGTCAACAACAAAAACGGCACTAATCATTACTGAGTCGGGGAGGACAACGGATCCTAAAATTTAAAAAGCTCTAATTACAACCTAAAGAGTAGTGGTAGTGGTGGAGCTGGAGATCAGTGGACTCTTAGGATCCCAGTTAAAATCCCACTTCTGCCACTTAATTACCTGCGTGACTCTGGGTAATTCCTTACCCTCTCGGGGCCAGTTTCCTATTCTGTAAAATCAGAGAACAAGGCTAGATGGGCTCAGAGGTGGCTTACAACTCTAATTCCACAATCTTAAACTGGTGCCAGCGTCTGGGACGGGTGGGTTCCAGTAGGGTCCGAGTTAAGAGTCAACAGGAGAGTCCTTTAACTCTCCAAAAACTCGAGTGAGTGAGCGAGTGTGAGCATGCTGCAGGGGCCTGACAGCGCAGCAGCCCAGGCCGGCCGAGCCTGCGGGCCACGGGGTGGGGGGCTGCGGGCCTAGGGGGGCGGTGGGGGCTGCGGGACCGGGCCCGGCGGCGTGGTTGGGGTCGAGGGATGGGGGGCTGCGGCAAGGCGGGCGGACGACGTGGTTGGGGGGGGTCACTGAGGACGGAGAAGGGGCCTCCAGCTCCTCCAGCACCGGGGCTGGGAGGCAGCGAGGCAGGGGAGCAACGGTTCCGGGGCTGGGGTGGGGGATCCGGCAGCAGGACGCGGCCCAAAGGCGCCGGGACGCTGCGGAGAAGACAGGCGCGGGGTCCGAGCCGAGGGGAGGCCCCGAGGGAGCCGCGGGCCCCGGGCTGGCCCCCGCCGCCCCGGAGGGAAGCGAGCCCGAGGCGCCAGGGGGGCGGGCGGCCTTGGTGCGGGCTTCTCCCGCCGCCGCGGGGCCACTACCTGTACAGGACGTAGGTGGGCGAGTCGAGGCGCATCAGCCCGTAGTCCTCCGGGAAGGAGTCGCTTTCCGCCTCCGCAGCCGCCGCCGCAGCCGCCGCAGCAGCAGCAGCCGCAGCCGCCGCCGCCACCGCCTCGGTCTTGGGCTTCGGCCTGGGCTGCTCCGGCTCCCCGGCCGCCGAGCTCTCCGCGACCATGTCGGCCTCCGCCGCCACCTGGGCGGCCGCCATCTCGCCTCGGTCCGGGTGGCGGCAGCAGCCCCGATCCTTACGCTATCCGCCTCCTTCCCTTCTTCCCCTTCCGGTCGCCTCGCCAACCATAGAGACGCGGGCCAGCGCAGCCCAGTTTGTTGGTCCAAATTCTTATCACCCCGAGGGAAAGCCGACCGAGGGGGGAGGGGCCGTGGGGGAGAAGGAGGGGGTGGGGCGGAGGCGGAAGGAAGGCGCGAAAGGGTAGCAGTTGCAAGTGCGCAAGCGCGGACGCGGTTGGCGTTTCCCGACCTTGGTGCTGTGGTGTCCTTCTCCCGCCTGTCTCGTTACGCTGAGGAAGGTCGGCTGCTTGTGCCTGTCCGTCATTTTCAGGCTTCCCTCCTCCGAACCCTAATGCACCCCCTTGGGATCCCTCTCCTACTCACCCACCATCATAGTCACGCCATCTCCCTTCTGTGTGCCCTCTCACTTCACTTCCATCTCAGAATCCTTCGTTTCATTGCAAACATTGCCCTAAAGACCTAGATGAGGACTTCTCTCATTCCTTCTCCCTCCCAACCAAAAAAAAAAAAAACCAAAACAACTTTTGTCCAAGAAAAAATATTGATAGAACTAGTAATTAAAAATTTAAAAAATATACTTTGCATTTGAGGCACAAATCTGCCAGAAACAATTTATTTCACATTCTAAAGCTAATCATTTCTAAACTAAACCTAGAGAGTTGTTGAGTAGTTTCAGTCCTGTCCAACTCTTCCCGACCCCGTTTGGGGTTGTCTTGGCAAGGATACTGGAGTGGTTTGCCATTTCCTTCTCCAACTCATTTGACAGATAAGGAAACTGAGGCAAACAGGGTGAAGTGACCTGCCCAGGGTCACACAGTAAGTGTCTGCGGCTAGAATTGAACTCACGGAGATGAGTCTTCCTGGTTCCAAGCCCAGGACCTTAAACCTAGAGGGAGAACTGTCCAAACTGATGGTTTCTCCACCTTTCTCTTCTTTTCTTCCCCATGACTCCTGGCATCTCTCCCAAGTCAATTTGAGGTAACATTTATAAGAGGAGAATATCAAAATATATTAAAATACAATTTTGAGTTAACATTCCAGAATAAGTCTGTTAGTCTTCAACTACAATAATTCAGTTCCTTCCCAAGACCTTTCCTTACAAAAATGGAAAGGGCTTCCTCCCCATTATCAACATCTCAATCCTCTCTGAATGGAAGAGGGTGAGCTTGACCACTATGTATTTCAGGACTGCTCATCCACCTTTCGTGTCCATCTGATTCACCTAAATCTCACCTATGGTTCCCAGAAGCAGGTAAATCGTCTCCAAAGATGGGCTAAATCAGTTTGAGGGTAATGGACAGGCCTCAGACCTATTGGTAAATTAGGGGGATGTCTGCCCCAAGCAGTGAAGGTTCCCCTAGTGGAATGGGTGAATGACTACAATTTATTCCAAATTGTTCATTGGCCACCGAGGCAGCTGGAGCAAATACTGTGGGGCACCTAGAGTTTGGTTAGACATCAAAGATGCCAAAGTCATCCATGGCATCCCGGACCATTGCCAGTTGTCCTGACTTTTGTCTTACCTTTGGACTTCAGTGTCTCAGGAAGAGAGAGTGAGGCTGAGAACTTTGTGCAACTCTGCCTCATTTGAATCCAGTTCACTAGAAAGTCATCATCTATTGATCCTCTTTGAAAACAAAGGATGAACAATGAGAAGAGACTCACACTACTGCTTTGCAGAAGTGGGAGGTCACAAGTATTGTATATTGAATATAGTTTCAATATATTGATCAGTTATGGTGATTTTCCCCCCTCTTTTTCTTTTTTTTTTGTCTTTAAAAATATTATTTACTATATAGGTTGGCTCTCTAGAAGGAGGGAAGGGAAGATAGTGGAAACTGTGGTGACATAAAAAACAAAAGGCATCAATAAAAAGTTAATTTTTTGAAAAGTGGATGTAATAGTCCAGATCTGTAGTATGCTGTTTCTATTCAAAGAGTTAAAAAAAATTGATGGAAATCTATTTTCTCTCCATCTCATCCCCCAAACCATTAAAAAAAAAAGAAAAGAAAAAATAAATTCCTTGTAACAAATATGCATAGTTGAGCAAAGCAAATTCATTCTTTGGCTTCATACAAAAAAATTTTTTTTTGTACTCTAAATCTATCACCTGTCTTTCAGGAAGTGAATAATATGCTTCATCACTGGTCTTATAGTTGGTCATTTTATTGATCATAGTTGTTATAGCTTTCAAAGGTTTCTTGTTGTTTTTATGATGTTATTATATAAATTGCTCTACTGGTTCTATTTATTTCATTCTTCATAAGTTCATAAAAGTCTTCAAAACTTCTTGTTTTGGAATACTGATGTTATAGTACAAATTGTTCTTCTGGTCTTGTTTATTTCATTCTGCAGCAATTCATGTAAGTATTTCCATTTTTATTTAAAATGATCTATTTCCCCATTTCTTATAGCATAGTAGTATTATGTCACATTCATATACCGCAACACATCCAGCCATTCCCAATTGATGGATGTCCCTTTAATTTTTAGTTTTTTGTTATCACAAAAAGAGCTGCTATAAATATTTTTGTACATATAGGACCTTTTCCTGTTTCTTTCATCTCTTTTGGGTAGAAGTCTTTCTGTCAGTGATATAGCAGGGTCAAATGCTGTTAAGTAACTTTTTGTATATAATTCTACATTACTTTTCACAATGGTTGTAGTCTTTCACAAGGCAACCAACAGTTCATTAATATGACTATTTTCCCACAGCACCTCCAACATTTATTGTTTTTCTTTTTTATCGTATTTGTCATTCTAATGGGTATAAGGTAGACGGTTGCAGTTGCTTTAATTGGCCTTTTTCTAATTAGCAGTGATTTGGAGCATTTTTTCATATGGTTATAGATAGCCTGGGTTTCTTCCCTTAAGAACTGCTTGTTTATAACCTTAGACCTTTTATCACTTGAGGAATGGCTCTTAATTTTATTAATTTGAATTAGTTCCTTATGCAACTTGGAAAGGAGACCTTCATAAGAGAAACTTGCTATAAAGATTTTTTCCCAGTTGTTTCCCTGATCTTAGTTTTACTGTGTTTGCTTAAAAACTTTTTAATTTTATGTAATCAAAATTATTTCATTCTTTTTCTTGCTTTACGGGCATGAACTTTTCTCATATCGATAGATGTGATAGATAATTTTTTTCCATGTTCCTCTAATTTCTTTATGATGTGACTTTTTTATATGTAGATCACATATCCATTTGGAGCTTATCTTGGTATATGTGAGATGTTGGTCTAAATCTAATTTCTTCCATACTGTTGTTCAATTTTCCCAGAAGTTTTTGTCAAATAGTGAGTTGGTATCTCAGTAGCTATGGTCTTTTTGTTTATCGAATATGAGAGTACTAGATTCATTTGCTTTTGTATGTTGTATAGTTAATATGTTTCACTGAATGATGTTCTTTATTTTTTTTTTTACCAGTACCAAATTGTTTTAATAATTACTGTGTTATAGTATAGATTGAGATCTGGCATGGCTAGAACCACTTGGTTCCCACTTTATTTCATAATTTCTCTTCATAGTCTTGATCTTTTGTTCCTCCAAATGAATTTTGTTATATTCTTTTCTAGTTCTAAAAGTAATCCTTTGGTGGTATGGCATTGAATAAGGAATTTATTTAGATAGTATTGTCATTTTTTATTGTATTCACCTGTCCTACTCATGAGCAATTAATATTTTTCAATCTGTATTTCTATAAACAGAGGATAGTTGTATTTGTATAGTTTTTCTGTTTATATTAAAAGAAATACTCTTAAATATTTTATACATTCTGTAGTAATTTTAGATGGAATTTACTCTATCTCTTTTGGTTGAGTTTTATTGGTATTCTATAGAAATACTGATGATTTGTATGGATTTATTTTATATCCTGCAAGTTTGCTGACATAATTGATTCATTTACTTTTTAAGTTGAATCTTTAGGGTTCTTTAAGTATACTATCCTATCATCTGCAAAGAAAGTGATAATTTTATTTCTTCTTTACCTGTGCTTATTCTCTCAATTCAGTATCATATCAAATAGAAGCGGTGACATTGGACACCCTTGTTTCACCGTTGATTTTATTGAAAAGAATTCTAGTATCTCCATTACATATCATGTTAGCTCTTGGTTTTAGATAGACACTATTGTTCATTTTAAGAAAAGTTTCATTTATTCCTATATAATCAAGAAGATTATATAGTTACAATATATACTATATATATGAGTACATTATATATCAGGACTATATATATTGTATACTCTCCAATCAGGAGTACAAAAAGGAACAGGGAATGTATCTTAATGTTCATTTAAAAATCAGGTTTCTTGTTCTGTTGTGTTGGGTTTACCTCTCTACTTCATGAAGTTGTATGCCTCTGGGAGACATTTTCCCTTTGAAATTCTAAGTCAAAAGGTGTTTGTCCTAACCATGCTCCACAAATTATACAGTTTGGGCCACTTACACTGAAAGACATGTATACATAAATCATTACCGTGGAGTTTTCCAGTTCAGTGTCATTTGTTAACAGTCCCTGGGATGGATCTTTCCACCTTATTTCTAGGAGAGATTCACAGAGTTCCAAGTCATGCAGTGCCACTGATGAAAGTTCCTTAGGGAATGTTGTTTAAATCTACTGATGATACCACAAATTTAGTAGGACCTGACAAAACCTAATTACATCAGCCTTCCCAAACTTTAGTTCAAGAGGTGAAAGCCAATGCAAATCTTATGGAGTTAACCAAAGAACATCAAATGAAGCTACCTGTAACTCATCTGAAATTAGGAAGAGTTTTAATTTTTACATTTCATTTGTTTGTTCCATCCTGCCTGAACCCTCTACTTGATATGGCCAATGCTATCTATAGGCTAGTGAAAGAATCTTTAAAAAAATATCTTTGAGGATCTGACTTGTAAAATGAGCCCTTCAGTTGCTTGACATCAGACAAAAACTTCATACTGGAAAAAAATATAATCTAAAAGTTCATTACATCTTTTATATCACTTCTCCCTGTAAAGATGCAATCTAACTTGAGAGATTGTAGACAATTACTAAAACACATCCAAAACCCAATGTATTTAGGCATTTGTATGAAATTCACCTGTGAATTTTCAAA